AGACCGTGACAGACACTCACGTGACGCATCACAGACCGTGACAGACAGAGCTTTGGTCCATCACAGACCGTGAGAGACAAGATTTTGGACTAGGGATGAGAATTTATTGTTATTGTTATAAATAACAATAACTTTTTCTGTTATTGTTATTAAATAACAATAACTTTTTTTTGTTATAGTTATTTAATAACAATAACTTTTTTGTTATTGTTATTTATAACAGTTATATAACAAATAACTCTTAGTTTTTAAAAAATCCTATAAACACAGTATAACTTTTGAGAAAATAATGGATTTTTATAACACTTGACTAAAGGCTTTTGGGTCGGGGAATCCAAAGCTGTGATCGGTTTTTCGAAATCTTGAAGTTTAATTTTGTCATTAGGAGATGGCCATTTTTTAAAAATAACGATTTTTCTTAAAGTTTGATCAAAGGTTTTCGGGATCGAGGAATCCAAATCTGTGATCGGTTTTTCGAAATTTTGAAGTTTGAGTTTTTCGTTAGGAGAAGGCTATTTTTCGAAAATAACGATTTTTCTTAAAGTTTAATCAAAGGTTTTCGAGATCGAGGAATTCAAATCTATAGTCAGTTTTTCGGAATCTTGAAGCTTGATTTTTTCGTTAGGAGAAGGCTATTTTTCGAAAATAATGGTTTTTCATAAAGTTTGATCAAAGGTTTTCGGACTCGAGGAATCCAAATCTGGGTGGGTGTGGATGTGGGTGTGGGGTGTGCATGGGATTAAAGAGAAGACTAACACCCATACCCATACACCCTACACCCACACCCACACCCACAGCCACAGCCACACCCACGCCCACACCCACACCCCACACCCTTACACTTCACCAGAAGAAATACTATTATCATCACCTGATGAAGATGTCGTATATGGTTATTTCATTCCAATCGATAGAATGTTATCGTCGATGTTACAATCTCAACGACTTCTATTAGAAATTTCAGAAAATATTCAACAACAACGAATCAATGTAGAAAATGATTCAGATCTTATGTTTTCGATTAGAGACGGATATTATGGTAATCGATTTGATCAAGATAGTCTATTAATCCAGTTGTATTTGGATGATATTGG